TTCCAGAACATCGTCCCCATCTCGCTCTACATCTCCATCGAGATCGTCAAGACCATCCAGGCTTTCTTCATCTACCAAGACATCGAGATGTACTACGCTCCGCTCGACTACCCCTGTGTGCCCAAGACGTGGAACATCTCGGACGACTTGGGCCAGATCGAGTACATCTTCTCGGACAAGACCGGCACCCTCACACAGAACGTCATGGAGTTCAAAAAGTGCTCCGTCAACGGCGTCTCCTACGGCGACGGCATCACCGAGGCCATGATCGGCGCCATGAAGCGCGAGGGCAAGGACACCTCCGGCTTCAGCGCGGAGAGGCAAGAGGCGGAGCTCGCCGAGTCCAAGAAGCGCATGGTCGACATCATGAAGCGCGCCTTCAAGAACCGATACCTTCGCGCCGACAAGATGACGCTCATCTCGCCTCCCATGGCCGAGACCTTGGCTGCAAGCTCGACGGATCCGCAGCGCAAGAACATCGTCACCTTCTTCCGCGCACTCGCGCTCTGCCACACCGCCCTCGCCGACCGCCCTGACGGCAACGACCCGTACACCCTCGAGTACAAGGCCGAGTCGCCCGATGAGGCTGCGCTCGTGGCAGCAGCGCGTGACGCCGGTGCCGTGTTCATCGCCAAGAACAACAACACCATCGACATCGAGGTGCTGGGTCAGCCGGAACAGTACACGCCTCTCAAAGTGCTCGAGTTCAACAGTACGCGAAAGAGGATGTCGATCATCGTGCGCGAGCCTGATGGCCGCATCCTCATGATCACCAAGGGTGCCGACTCGGTCATTTACCAGCGCCTGCGTCGTGATCATCCAGAAGAGCTCAAGCAGGCCACCTTCCGCGATCTCGAGGCGTTTGCCAACGCTGGACTCCGAACGCTCTGCATCGCCTACCGCTACTTGGATGAAACCGAGTACGTCGAGTGGGCTCGCATCCACGACGAGGCCAGCGCCAGCCTCACAGACCGAGACGACGCCATCGACGAGGCCAACGAGAAGATCGAAGTCGACCTCACGCTGCTCGGCGCCACCGCGCTCGAAGACAAGCTGCAGGTGGGCGTGCCCGAAGCCATCGAGACGCTCCACCGCGCCGGAATCAAGCTCTGGATCCTAACGGGTGACAAGCTGCAAACGGCCATCGAGATCGGCTTCAGTTGCAACCTGCTCACGTCGGACATGGAGATTATGATCATCTCTGCCGATCACGAGACCGGAACACGCGCCCAGCTCGAGGCTGCTTGCAACAAGATCGCCGCTGCGGGACGTCCCGTCGTTGTGGAAGAGCCCGCCAAGCGTCCAGGCGGCAAGGTGCGCAAGAACCGACTCACTGTGGCGCGCACCGAGCAGGCACCCAAGGACGGCTTCGCGGTGGTCATCGATGGTGAGACGCTGCGCTATGCGCTCGACACGAGTCTGCGACCGCTCTTCCTGGCGCTCACTACCCAGTGTGAGGCGGTGGTCTGTTGCCGTGTATCGCCTGCGCAGAAGGCTTTGACCGTCAAGCTCGTCAAGGATGGTAAGAATGCCATGACGCTCGCCATTGGTGACGGTGCTAATGACGTCGCCATGATCCAGGAGGCTCACTGCGGCGTCGGCATCGCCGGTCTCGAAGGTGCTCAGGCATCGATGAGCGCCGACTACGCCATCGGCCAGTTCCGCTTCCTCACGCGTCTGCTGCTGGTGCACGGTCAGTTGTGCTACCACCGCATCTCGGATCTGCACAAGGTCTTCTTCTACAAAAACATCATCTGGACGTCGATCCTCTTCTTCTACCAGATCGACTCGGACTTCACCGGCTCGTACATCTTCGACTACACCTACATCCTGCTGTACAACCTCGTCTTCAGCTCGCTCTGCGTCATTGTCATCGGTGCGCTCGACCAGGTCGTCAACATCAAGGCTCTCCTCGCTTTCCCGCAGACGTACAAGCGCGGTATCCAAGGCGCCGAGTACACCAAGCCGCTCTTCTATATGAGCATGCTCGACGCTGCCTTCCAAGGTGCTGTCTGCTACTTTATTCCGTGGTGGTTCTACACGTACGGGCCCATGGTGGGCAGCGATGGCCAGGATATGGGCGGCCTCTCCATGTTCGGCACTTCGATCGCGGCGGCCGCCGTCACAACAGCAAATCTGTACGCCGGTCTCATCGCCAAGCACTGGACGGGCATGTTCTGGGCGGTAGAGATCATCTCGCTGCTCAGCGTCTACGCGTGGACTCTGGTATATTCGGCGTTCCCTGTCTTTGCTTTCCAGAACGTCGGCTTCTGGCTCGTGCAGACGATCAACTTCTGGGCCGCCATCCTTCTCACCACCGTCGTCTCGCTGCTTCCCCGCTTCTTCCTCCGTGCGTGGCGCTCCTCGTTCAACCCGAACGAGCACGACATTCTTCGTGAGGCTTGGACGCGAGGTGATCTCAAGGACCAGCTTGGCATTCCGCATCACAGCAAGAAGAAGGCCAGGCGCGCGGCTGCCAACGCGGCCGGACGAGGCGGCTACGACGAGAGCGGGATGGACGACTCGTTCACAGACAAGAGGGATCGTGACATGGAAGGCCAGAGCGACACGCTCTTCTACGAGGCAAAGCGATCTACAGAACGCCAACGCCGCGAGAAGCGCTTCAACGGTCTCTCGGCCGTCGGAGAAGAAGATGATGCTTCGGAGACGTCGGCCGATCCCCTGTCCGGCGGCAATTACGGCGATCGCCATACACACGGCAATGCGGCTGGCTTTGGCTCAAGGCTGCAGAGCCCGATGCATGCTGGCGATCAGCTCGCTTATGACCGCAACAATGGCGCTGTCTCGGGTCTGTCCTTCTACGATCCGGATGCGCTGCCTCCGAACGGAGACGGTCCGAGCCCTGCTGCGCTGCAAAGCTACTACGAGCAGGGCTACGATCCGCAGAGGACACCGCGCCCCGGCGTTCCGATGATCCAGGTGCAGCGAGCGTCGGCTGCGATGCATCCGGGCAACGCCGTGCCGCACGGAGGACACGGACCGATCAGGCAAGCTTCCAACGACAGCTTCAACCGTGCGTTTGACGACGAGTTTGGCGCCGAGTACGACACGAGCGGAAGCCCGTATCCAGCTGCGAGCGGCTACGGGTACGCGCCCGCGGGGTCCCGGTCGGTCTCTGGCTCGAGCTACGGCTCTACAGCCACGCACACCCAGGCGCATCCGAGCATGCCACGCAGCAAGACTCAGCAGGCGCCGGCGGCGGCATCGCACGAGGCGGGGCCAACGTCGCAGCCGACAACACCGGTCAAGTCCGCAGGTGCTCGGTACCACGACCGCTTCAAGACTCCGTCTCCTCCGCAAGCGACGTCGCAGTTCAACGACGCCATGGTGCCATCGGCGTCCGAACAGAGTCTGGGCGTGGGCAGCGTCGCGACGCGAACGGGCGGTGGCCATTCGCACGAGCATTCCGGAGCATCGCATGTGTCGTGGCACACGGCTCAGGGGTCGGAGCACAACGGCGCGGATCCGCTGCAACGGCAGCACGAGCGCATGGCTTCGGACGCGTCCAAGTTCACAGCCCTCTGAGGCGTGCTCGTGCGACCGTGCGGCCTCGCCTTCATACGCACCTCTTTTTTTATGACTGCAACGGACCCTTTTTTCAACGCTTTCCGTCTCATGTAACCAAGTGGCTCGTCGGCATCGATAGATTCATTTTCATCAGTGCGTGCGTTGATGAGCTGCGGGCTTGTGGCGATGCATAAAGAGTGTGGGACCACCGAGCCGACAAAGACGAGAGTCGGGGGTGTCGAGATGAGACATGTGATGCCAAGCATGAGAAAAAGTGGACCGACGCTATGCAAATGAAGGAGAGGCAAAGCACAAGCGCGCGGTGGTTCGAGTATCTGCTACAGAGCTGTGTATATAAGTGCAGTGGTCTGAGTGGATGCGATCGATTGCACGACGTACCTCTTGAACATCATGTTGTTGGTCTTCATCCTGGTGATGGTCGTTGGGGTTGTAGCGCCTCATTCTGCACGGGAGGCGTATGAAGTCAAGTATCGTGCTGTCGTTACGCCACTCTCTCTGTATCTCCCTCGTCCACCTGTGCTTGCGCCAATTTCTCCGACCAGAGCCCGCAGTCAGGCATCTGGTATGCGTACCTACCTGCATGCTCTCTTCAACCACGAAGCGTACATCCACCCTGACGGCGATAATCGTCTTGCTGCACTTCGGATTAGTACCATCACCACCCTCACGCACGAATCGGAACCCCGTGCGAGAGACTACCAGAGTAAGTCCCCCCTCGCCCCTGTCCCTTGTATGGAGTTGGAAGCTGACAAGGGTTGGGAGCAGCGGGTTTGGTTGCGGTTTTTGAGGAGGCAGCAAATCAAGCTAGAGGGGACATTCAGGTGGCTCTGCATCCCCACAATGTCCGCGCACAACATGTTCAGGCTCTGGAAAAGCTACAGGGAGAAGTCAATGACGTTTTGGACGTCCTCAAGACACCGGGAAATCTAGACCTCGTGACGAATAAGCTCGACATACACGAGCAAGACCGCTTCACAAAGGCGTATCGTTTGCTCAAGGCAGAGAAGAAGCTGCTCAAAAGCGCTGCTAAACTTGCGACTAAGTTTCCCCGCCTGTAACCATCTCATGCCAGCCGCTTCATGAGCTCAACAGAGAGCGATTTTTTCAAGAGCGAGGCGTGGTGCGATGACGGTGTATCGAACGAAACGCTCAAAGCGCACAGACCAAGGATGTTGAGCTGTTTCATTTCCGAGATTGACATGGCGCATCAACGGAGTACCGTATCGTATGATACCGAGATGCGGTGCAAAGTGAGGTCTCGCATATGAAGGCACGACATTGACTCGGCGCGGTGGGGGATTCAGTTGCAACAGAGGGGCAGGTTTGCGACGGCGGCGCTGGCGATGGCTGGCTTGAAGCTCGACTCAGCGTGACAAGGAGCACAGCGGGGCTGAAGAACAACATGGCGGGAACCTGATGAGGCGTGACTTAGCGAACATCGACGAGGCTTAGGGTTCATGTCCCTCTTCTCAGGCGCATGCGTCGTTGAACTCCATTAACTTCGTCGCTTTCATCCTGTACGTGGGGTCTTCATTCGCAGATCAACCGCGTCCCCTGCGACGTGGGGGATGATATCAACCCCTTCGTGCCAGTGTCTAGTCCGTTGGCTTCTGAGCTGCCTGTGCAGCCACCAACATCGTCGTCACCATATGAGATCATGCCATCAAAGAGGGGCAAGGTTGTCTCGCTTGCTTTTCTTCGGATGTGGCACTTGAAGAGCATCGATTCAGCCTTGTCCTCTAGTCTGTGCGCTTTCATGCCGCACACACTGTATAGCTATCGTACGGTCTCATCATCATCATCAATACGTACGTACAGATCCATCAATAGCGAGATCCTTGCCCGCGAGTTTCACTAAAGAACGACTGAGGGCGACAATGAGTTTGCCGATAGGCTCTCTGACGATCTTGCCCACCTACCACAGTATAAGTGCTTAGCTGAATTGATTCGTAATAAAGAACATGATCTAGTGCGCATGCGAGGTCGAGTCGGTCCACATTGAGTCCCCGATACGGAGCGATGCAAAAGACTCAGTGCAACGACGCACACATATACACTCAACAGAGGGTAAAGGGAAGGTCTTGGAGGCCTGCTGCACCACATATGAATCACGGACATGTATGCAACGGGATCCCGCCCCTTGCAACATGATTGAGGCATACCCACCGCAATTGGTGGATCTCCGAGGCCAGCTGGGCAACGCGTGTCGATGCTACACGTGTGCACCGGGATCCTTGCACTCTCAGGTGGCGTAACCGGCTGAACGTCCGCCGATCTTTCGTATTAAAGCAGAGCAAAGCCAGCTATCGTTTTGGACTGCAACCATCACCACCGGCTATCGACATGTTTCTCTTTGCCTGGTTTTTGCTTTTTGCCGTCGGCGCTCTGGCTGGCGGAAGCTCGTCCAGACCGAGCCCGGACGTTGTGCGCTCGTACCGCGACTTGCACCGCGGGCTGCTCGAGCCCATCAACCTGTATAATCCTCAGCCACAGACAGTTGCGCCTCTCGGTCCCCCCTGGAGGGGTCGGAACAAGCTTGCAAACATGCAGAACTACATCCGGAACGTCTACAACCACGAGGCCTACATTGATCCTGAAGCAGGCGCTGCTCTGACCCGTTTGCGCGGCAACATGCAGTGGATTATCAATCATCCCAACGATCCACGCATCAAGGATTACCAACGTAAGCTATGATTGATCGATTGCCTTTGATCAGAGGTACTGATTGGCGGCGTACTTTTGGTTACAGGTGGCCTGGTCGCGGTTATGGAAGAAGCAAGCGCGCAAGCCAAGCATGATATGCAGAATGGGCTGCACCCGGTCAATGTACGCGCGCAGCATCTTGATCCCATCCGCTCCCTGTCGAACAAGGTCAACGGTGTCGTGGACCTCTTTGGCCAAGGCAGATCAGAACTCATGAGCAGTCACCTCGAACAGGCCGACCGTGATCGCTTCGCCAAGGCATTCGAAGTTCTCTTTTCCGAGAAACATCTGCTCAGCTCTGCCACTCGACTCGCTACAACCGTCCCTCGTCTCCAGTAGCCCGTCCACTACATCCTTGCGTCTCCCTTGCAGTCTATGATCTCGCTCGCTAAAGGCATTCCCTCGTCTGAACTAGCCCGCTCCCTACACTCTTTCATCTCCCATGCAGTCCATTATGTCGGTGGCGTAAAGACTGCAAGTGTATCCGTCCTGTAGCCTTTTCTTGCAAGCCACATTGTCGGTCAACGCTGAAGTACACTCCCTTGCATTTGTAGATTGCACAAGATCACTTTCGCAATTCACAACTACACATTGCACTTGCACCAGATTATGCCCGTGCATGCATCCAACAATGTTCGTAGCTGGACCCAATCAATATCGCATTCTTTTTCCAGTACCCACATGTTCTCCGGGCCAAGCAGCTGGATTGCAAGGTCTCCGTTCCCTTTCTGCATGTTGCATCGATGCTCTTGTCCGAGGTTCTCGCCATTGATGAACGAAAGGCTTCAGCAATAGTCACATTCTGCTCGGTGGTAGCCTTTCAAGGTCTGCTCCTGAACTCAAGAGAAAGTGTCCATGACTTGCAGCGAGGCATGGTGATGGTGGGCAGGAGTAGCGACAGATGTCTTCATTCAGCTACGACATTGCTTGGATGTAACTATGATACGGGCGTGATCTGATGCAAGTGTGACGACAGCTATAAATTGCGAAATTGGTCGGTCGTGATCTACGAAAGCAAATGCAACTGGGGATATCAATGTAAGGTGGTGAACGTGATCTGATCGCAACGCTCAAGTTGTGACAGCTGCGCAACCGAATGGTGGCTTGACGCTCGATACGGAACGACGAGGATGACAGTGAGGCCAAACTTTAGCAAAGCAGCCGCTGGAGAGGCGTGAGAATTGCATGTTGACCTGAGTTGACATCAACGGGCTTGTATGGTCGAGGGTAGTAGTTTTCAAAGGCAACGGATCCCGCCACGAAGCAAGAACCTTTGTGTAACGGAACTCTAGCTTCCTCGAACGATGCTGCGCGCCCAGGCATGCACAGCCAGGATCATTGACCATCGGTGTCCTGTACTTACAGTATATAGGCGCCGCAACCAGACAGGCTTTCGTCCTCAATCTGCATTCGCCACAACAGGCTATAGTCTTGATCTGAACCCAACTTACCGATCAACATGCTGCTCTTTGCTTGGTTTTTAGTTCTCGCTGGCAGCGTCCTCGCTGGTGGTGGGTCGTCCAGTAGTCGTGGAGGCGGCGGCGCCAGCGCAATGCGCGCGTACACGAATCTGCACCGCTCACTGCTCGAGCCTATTGGCTTGTACAACGCTCGTCCGCAGATTGTTGCGCCCGTAAGTCCGCCCTTCCGGGGTCGTAACAAGGTCGCCGACATGCAGAACTACCTGCGCAACCTCTACAACCACGATGCTTACATCGACCCGGAATCCGGCGCCGGTCTGGAACGTCTGCGCGGCAACATGATGTGGATCCTTAACCATCCCAACGACCCTCGCATCAGAGATTACCAGCGTAAGCCTGTCCTCGCTCTCCCGTCGATCGAATCCGCTTCGGCGGGATGTACTGAACTGTTATTGTGCGTTCTCTGGATGTTCAGGTGGTCTTGTTTCGGTGATGGAGGAGGCTAGCGGACACGCCAGACAGGAGATGCAGAATGCCCTGCATCCTGTCAACGTCCGCGCGCAGCATGCCGTGCCCATCCGTGCGCTCGGGACCAAGGTCGGCAGTGTCACCAGCGTGATCCAGGCTGGTTCGAACTCGAACCAGCTGACGAGCCACCTCGGACAGGCCGACCAGGACCGATTCGCCAACGCATTCGAAGTGCTGTTCTCCGAGAAACAGCTGCTCAGTGCCGCAGAGCGTCACGCTACGAGCATCCCCCGTCTCTAGCCCTGAGCCTCAATCGCTTGCCTATCTCCCATTCGACCCACTGTGATCTTGACATATTTCCGACTGCACCTTGAAATGCGACATTGATTGTCTGCAACCTCCGCAGTTCATACACCCATAATGCACGTCAAAAATGACGGGTTGCCTGAGAAGATTGCGGGACCCGACCATGCTTGACAACACATGCATTGTGACCTAGATATTACCGTAGCGGGGATGCGGAGGGGCCAAGAGACAAATGAGCTTATTACAGCACCGCAAGGAAGGATCACTCAATGGTGCTTGTCGACGTCGCTTCGGCTGAGGATAAAGAGAAGACCGAACCGATTGCGTGTTGTTCCTAGCTTTCGATCTCTACAAGCGTCGTGGTATAAGACTGGCCTGGATTGGAAGGGTCAAGCATCTGTACGCACCACAACCAACAGCTGTCAAGATGATTTTCCTCCTCGTTCTGTCGATTCTGATCATTGGTACGGTGGTAGCGCCGCACCCTGACCAGGGCATTTCGGGGCTGCCTACGAACCAAGACGTGTACAACACTGCGTACTTCCACAGGCTTTCGCAGGTTCACGCGTACGTGGGCACCCCTTCCATCACTGCACCCCTTTCGCCCCCTTGGCCCGAGCATGAACAGACCTGGCAGATGCAGCGCTACGTCAACTTGCTGCACCAGCACGAGGCGTACATCGACCCCGAGGCAGGCCGCCATCTCGATCGTCTGCGCAAAAACGCAATTTGGCTATACAATCACCGAGACAGCTCGCACATCTCAGCACACCAACGTAAGCTCCTCACTCCTTTCCTCTTTGGTCGTGGCGGAAAGACTGACGCGCGGTTTGTGTTAGGCTCATTTGTGGCGGCCATGGAGGAGGCCGGTGAACAGGCTAAGCAGGATCTGCAGGCTGCACTGCACCCTGTCAATGTGCGTGCCCAGCATGTCGAACCCCTTCGTAGGCTCGCCGCCAAGCTCACCATCACCCTCAACGCGATCGAGGGCGATCTTCTGAACCACCTGCTCTCCGGGCTGAGCGTGGACGAATGGACGAGGTTCAACCATGCTCATATGCTGCTGTCTACTGAAAGGGAGATGCTCACCCTCGCTGCCGACAGGTACGCCTCGCACCTGCCGCGCCTTGGTCTGTAACGAAAAAGTCCCCATCTCTTCCTCCTACTCCATTCGTAAGCAGGCATGCTTCCTCCCTCGTTTCTGGCTAGCAATCCATCCTTCCTCGTTCATTTGTAACCAAACACCCGACAATCGAACCACCCCTCAACCATTCTGCCTCCTTCATTTGCAACAAGCCAATTAGCATCCGTCCTTGCTCTTCGCTTTGATTCTTCGTATGCCGTGCAATAAAGTGACTTGATCTGCGACCGTGACAAGGCGAGGGAGCTCGAGAGCAAGCGTTGATGGCTGTCGTGCGCTCAGGTCGGGATCGCGTCGCAAAGCAGGACGAACATGATCGAGAGAGCGCTAAGCTCGGAAGGCGGATGCTGGTCGAGAAGCTGGCAAGCGGATGATGAGAGCAACATACTCAGGGGAGGAGTGTGGGTGAGTAGTGGGTGTGGGATGTAGCGTTGTCGTTCAGTAGCACAGGCGTTCAATGTCATCGGCCTTCAATCTTTCATGCAGGTCCACAGCAAATGACCGTTCATCCCAGCGGGACTACTGTATGATCGTGGTGGGCTTAATGTGAGGCCCCCCTGCGTCGTCCGTCGGAACAGCCGATAGGCATTAATTCCGGCCGCCTCGATCAACCGCCTCGATCAATAGGTTGCACGCTCACACATTCAATGACAATGAGTCCGGTGTGTGTCAACAGCAAGTGACAGGAGGCAACGCAGGGAGGCTGGCACGTTCAAGATTGAGCTTGGCAGCGCCGCGCGTTACCGTGGCGTTATTGTTCGCAGCAACCGCTGTCCTGGTGGCCTTCAGCGAGTCATCCAGCTCACCAAGCCACGATCCTTTCTCAACCAACTTGAGTCTCAACTGCCACAGTCTGTGCTATATAAATGGCTCCAAGATCTGCAACGGACCGTCTCGACACACCAAACATCCGCCAGCATCCTTTAGCCAATACCTGCAAGCATTCCTCCGACAAAATGAATCTGATTTTCGTACTCTTCTTCCTGCTCGTTGCTGGGGCGATGGGCCAGATGGGCGCGTATCGGCAGATGTATTCGTCGGCGCTCGCACCTGTGCAGGCATACGTGGCGAGCCCGCACGTCATAGCGCCCGTCTCTCCACCGTGGCCACTAAACAACCCGACGGCAGCGATGCAGCGCTACCTCGGCGCGCTGTCGAACCACGACGGCTACATCAGCCCCGATGCTGGTGCGCACCTCCAGAGCGTCCGCAACAACGTTCGTACCGTCGTCGAGCACGCTAACAGTCCCAATGCCCGTGCCTACCAACGTAAGCCTGCCCGCCGCTCCCCCCCCCCTGCCCCTTCTCCGACATAACTGGCCGAGTTGGAAGCTGACGAAGTTGGCGTTTGGATAGGCGGATTGTTGGCGGTGTTGGAGGAGGCGGGAAATACGGCCAAGTGGGAGATGCAGACTGCACTGCATCCGGACAATGTACGTGCGCAGCATAAGACGGCACTGAGCGCGTTGTCGGCCAAGATTACGAATTTGCTCAACGCGGTCGAGGCAGATACGCAGCGTTTGGTGAGCCAGCTATCCGAGGCCGAATCGGAACGCTTCCTGCTTGCCCATGAGCTGCTGAGAGCCGAAAAACAGCTGCTCAACGCTGCCTCCCGACTAGCTACCAGTACGCCCGACCTGTAGCCTTGCATCCCCCGCGCGCATGCCGGTCACACGCGATAAACGGTTTCGCAGCTGGTCTTCGATTCATGTGGCTTCCTCGTCTTTCGTCTCTGTTTCCTGTTCCGTCGATTCGGCACCGCCGTATTGCTTCAGCCATTCCTGCAACCGATTGTCATCCATCAGCATTTGTGCAACATTCAGCTACTTCGCGGGAGTTGAAACTTACCTCGTCTGTCCATACGGCTCGATTTGACGCCTGTTTGGGCTGCTCCTTGTCGGCGAGCTTGACGTGGATAGTGCGGCCGTTTAGCGCATTGAGGTGCATGTTGTCGAGCGCATCGAGCGCGTCGTCTGGACTGCTGAAGGTGACAAAGCCAAAGCCCTTGTTCCTCCTCTGTGCCGAGCCGGCAGGTGCCGAGGTGGGAAGCGAGACCGAGACGATGTCGCCAAACGGCGCAAAGGCCTCGGCGAGTGCGGATTCGTCTAGATGCGCCGCGAGGTTGCCCACATATACGGTGGATGAGGAGGTCGAAGCCATGCTGCCGAATGGGATCCCAGTGATCGTCGGGGAAAAGAGTGGAGCATAGAGCAGCTTCGAGTGTCAGAAACAAGTGCCGCTCTCCACCTCGCCCGAGATCCGAACGAAAGGCAACCTTTCGCAGCGGCATTTTGAAGAGCAGAGAAACAGGCACTGCAATCACGCGTAATAAAAACGAAGCAAGGAAAAAGGGGCTCTAAAACCGCGGCTCAAAAATGAACTCGCCTGCACAACAACTTCGAAGAGCAGCACGATCAAGACCCACACACGGACAGGCCTTCAACAAGACTGATGGCAGCATAACAATGTACGAGTTTGCGAGAGTCTATCCCATGAGCGCATGGTTGTTGCGCGCCGCCTCGTTGTACCTTCCACCAGCGACCTTGAACTGCTTGACCTTTTGGTCGAGCTCGTTCTTGGTTTGATCGTCGAGCTTGATGGCAGCCGCCTCTGCGTTCTCCTTTGCACGCGAGGCCTTGGAGGTGCCTGGCAGGGGGATCATGACCTTGCTGCTTGCCACGAGCCATGCGAGACCGAGCTGGGTGGGTGTGACCTTCGGCGACTGCTTTTCGGCGAGCTGGACGAACTCATTGGCGAGCTCGAGGTTCTTGGCGATGTTGTCCTTGTTGAGACGGTCCATGTGGCTACGCACATCTCCTTCCGGGATATCGGCTGCGGACTTGATCGTTCCCGTGAGCAGACCCTTTCCGACGGGCGAGTAGGCGAGGATGGGCAGATTGTTGGCCTCGCAGAACTCGACGATGCCGGACGTGAAGACCTCGAGCTCCCACGGGCTGACTTCCAGCTCAACACAGGCGACGGGTGCGGCCTTGACCGCTTCCTGGATCGACGCCAGACCGAGCTCCGAGAGCGAGATGTGGTCAAAGAGCCCCTTGCCCGTGACCTTGTTGCCATCGGCATCGGTGTAGGTCTGGGTGGAGAGCGAGAGCATGTTGAGCATAGCCTGGGTGACCGACATGCTGGTGTCGCGACGAGCCACCTCGTAAACGTCGAAATTCTTGCCGCCCTGGTCGGTGCCAAGGTGCTCTCGGATGGCACGCAGGTCAATCTCGAGTGCCTCGACCGAAGCGTCGGCCTTGAGACCAGCCATACCCTTAGCCTGGTAAGCGGGGGTGTCCATGCCGCCCTTGACGGAGAGCACGGTCTTGTCCTTGTACTCGGGGTGCGCGTCGTAGAAGCGGCGCAGCAGCTTGAGGTTGGCGTAAGGGTCGCTGGGCGGGCCGTAGAAGGCGCCAGTGTTGAGGAAATTGCTGCCTGCATCGACGGCGGCCTTGATCGTCTTGAACACCTCGGCATCGGGCGTCATCTTGGCCGGCTCGGTCCATGTCATGCCCATGCATCCGAACGCGATGCGACCGACGTTGATGTGGCTGGCGCTGCCACCGAGCGCGATGGTTGGGATGGGCGGAGACGACATGGTGTATGGATCCTTGAATATAAGGGACTGCAGATGAAGGCACAATGGAGGTGCGTGATTATATAGCCGTCGAGCGGACTGAGCCACGTTGGAACGGAGTAGCAAGGGGGGAAGCTCGCTTGCTGCCGACCAACCACATGGTCGTTGCTACCGAGACTTTGCCGATCCGTAGAATGCTTGGATGAGCAAAGAGCGAGCATGAACTGCAGGGCAAGCTCCGCGGAGCCGCCACCGCACCGGCCAACCTCCCTTCCTGCGGGACCACTTCGTCTCGGCCAGAAGCCGATGTGGAGAAAAGAAAAAGCATAAGAATGTTAGACTGTCCAGGCGTTGAATTGCACGTGATGCGTCGCGTCCTGCCAAGCTGAGAAAAACTGGAATTGTGCGACGCTCGCACTGGCCTCTGCTCATTGCTGTCAAACATGGCCACCCGATATTACGCATGCTCTTCCGTCTTCTGAAGGGCAAGTCTGAGCGCAAAAGCAGTCGCAGGGGGAAGAGACTGACATGGCAAAAGGGGGGACGGGATCGGAAAGCAATCACAAGCCTCGGTGGAGACAGGATTTGCTAGCCGAACGGGAGCTTGCACGTCGAATCCACAGTGTCTTGCGTACACGGTTCGACTACAATGTTTGTCGTGAATCTACATAGCATTCCGCCCAGCCTGACGCACACAAGGAGCGTCAGGTACAGCCACCCGAGGTCGAGTGCTTTGCTTGCCATGGCACATGCATGAGCTGCAGCTTGCCTCAACCCGGCACAGCTGACGCACAAACATTCGGAGCGTACGCCCACCCCATCCCACTGCACACCAGCGTCACTTTTTTCCGCAAAAGTCGGTATTTACCGCTCCTCCAGGCGGACACCCGTGTCGATTGCTGTCACAGCCGACTGTCGCTCTGTCAAGCTCACCACGGCCTCCTTCCTCCCCCCACACATCTCTCCACCTTGTCCTCCTCAAGCATCCTCTCCTGCTCGCCATCACCCCCCGCCGCCGCCCTCTCGGCATCTCTATCTCCATCCCAGTCGCGAGCTCGACTCGGCGCTCACCACGGATCGCAGACTCTGGATCTCCCCGAGCCAAAATACGCTCTTAGCATCATCCGCATTCGCATTGATATCACGCTAGCATCTGCATCCCCTTATTGCACGCTCTCCCGCACTGTCCATCCAGCAACCTATCCTACACTCTCGTCCGCCTTGGCGCAACGGCATCCACGATGGCCACCGCACAACCCGCCCCGAGCCACCAGATCCCTGTTTATCCCAGCTATGCTCGTCCTGCAGCGCCACCCGCCTCTTCGGCGCTGCCCGCAAGGCCCCGCCCTGCATCCACGCTAGCATCACACAAGACCGCCGCAGCGCCACGGCCCGCCGCCAAAACCACCGCCTCTGCATCATCCAAATCCAAAAAGCCTCCTCTGCCCGCACCCCCGAGAGTCATCATCGATTCGGACGGCCGTCACTTCAAGCGAGGCGATCTTCTCGGCCAGGTAAGTCGTCCTCCGCACTCTTGCATCTCCATCGTGGTCCTGTTGACTGACACTTTGTCTTTGCGCGCGTTAGGGTGGATTCGCAAGGGTGTACATGGCTACCGACCCCGAGGGCCGCCAAAAGGCGTTCAAGGTGATTGCCAAGTCGGCCATCATCCATTCGCGCAAGAGCCGTCAGAAGGTGCTTGCCGAGATCATGATCCACAAGTCGGTCGACCACATCCACGTGGTCAACTTTGAAGACTGCTTCGAAGACGACGAGAACGTCTACTTCCGACTCGAGCTGTGCTGCAATGGCTCGCTCAACGACATTGTCAAGAAGCGCGGGCCCTACACCGAGCCCGAGGCACGATACCTTATGGTTCAAATCCTGGCGGGCACACAGAGCCTCCACCAGAACAGCATCATCCACCGCGACCTCAAACTCGGCAACATCTTCCTCGACCAACACATGCATGTCAAAATCGGCGATTTCGGCCTCGCGGCGCTGCTCAAGCATCCGGACGAACGCAAAAAGACCGTGTGCGGCACACCCAACTATATTGCGCCCGAGATCCTGTACGATCAGGGACAGGGGCACAGCTTCGAGGTGGATATCTGGTCGGTGGGTGTGATCCTGTATACGCTGCTGGTGGGCAAGCCGCCGTTCCAGACGCCCAAGGTCGACGACATCTACGAGCGCATCCGCAAGAACGCCTACGAGATCCCTGCCAAGGCCGGGCTCAGCAACGAGGCGGTTGATCTCATCACGCGCATTCTTACGCACAATCCGGCCAAGCGACCGACGCTGGTGCAGATCATGAACCACCCGTGGTTCCAGTGTGGTCCTGTGCCGCTGACCATCCCTCCGACCGCGCTGGAGGGTACGCCGTTCCTGCCGCCCGTCACGGCGCGCGAGTCGGCGCGCAATCTCGAGATGCTCAAGCGCCAGGCCAACTGGAACGACCGTGCGGACGATCTGCTCGAGGACGCTGCCGATGCCGGCGAGGCATATACGGATGCGCAGGAGCCCGTCGAGGTGGTGCTGGACGCGCGGAGCGAGCTCGAGCAGGCCGAACATGCCGAGGAGAGGAGGGAGAAGATGGACCGCGAGGCGCACCATGCTATCCAGCCCGAGAGCCCCATCTCGGCGCTGCTCAAGGCGGGACGACAGCCGCTCATCAAGGCGCCCGCACCGCCGCCGCAGAGTCTGGCGCGGTCCACGGCGAGCTCGCTGGCGAAACAGCTGTCTTCGCTCACGCTCTCGCGCCACACGCAGCCGGCGGTGGCGGACAAGGAGAATGCCAACCCCATGGCGCCTCCTCCGCCGGCTGCCGCCGCGAGGCCAGAGTTCGGCAGGATGTACTCGCGCAATGCCAATGCGGGCGTGGACGACGACAACGCGCGTGCGCTGCAGCAGAAGGCGCGACTCGTCACGTCGGTTGCGGCAGCAGGGTCGCTGCCGACGCGGCCGCTGTCGACGGCATCATCCATGGGCACGCTGGCCGAGCAGGCCATGGTGCCTTCCTCTTCGCGCGGCACGCTCGCTTCCGTGGGCAGCTCGACTGCACTCGCACCGGGAGCCAAGAAGACCAAGACGTCGATCGAGGTGATTATCGCGCACCTCGAGACGGCCCTGACGTGCATCGATGCGAACGAGCCGTACGATGCGCCTGCCACTTCGGCGGCCGATACGTTGCGCTACGTCGAGACACCGTGCGATCTCAACGGCACACGTCTGGTGGCCGAATCGCCACGCACTTTCCTCATCTCCTGGCTCGACCATTCCGAGCGCTACGGCCTTGGCTACGCGCTGAGCGACGGTACGGTGGGAGTGTACTTCCGCGACGCCACGAGCATGGTGCTTGCAGCCAGCAAGATGTACGTCGACTACATCTCGACCATCCGCAAGCCTGCGGGTGGGGTTCGAACGGACCAGTTGAAGCGGGAGAACTTCAGCACGGGCGATGGCGAAGAGGGCAGTGTCCCCCGTGAGCTGCAGTCGCGCGTCCGCGTCATGCGGTACTTCGAAAAGGAGATCATGGATCGTCTGTACGGAGCCGATTCTCCACTCACCTTCTGCGATACCGCTCGCACATCGGGTATGGTGTTTGTGCACAAGTGGTACAAGACCAAGGACGCCATCGTCTTCCGCCTCAGCAACGGAACGGTCCAGCTCAACTTTTACGACCACACCAAGCTCTTCCTCACGCACGGCGCGCAGGTCGTCAGCGTCATCGAACCCCTCGACAAGACGGGTGGCGTGCCTCGTATGACTTCGTGGAGTCTGGACGAGTTTGTCAGCATCGCAAGAACCGACCGCTCCGCTAGGGAAGCCCAAATGACAAACACCACCGATAGAACGCTCTACAAAACCCGTCCCGCCGAAAGGAGAAAGGTGCGAGGCCTCGTCAACAAGCTCCGCTACGCCCGCGACGTCCTCGCTTCGACCGTCAAACCTAACCGCCCGTCCTAAACCCGCATGCATACCGCCTATTTATCGTCTTTCGTCTTCACTTTCATGTTACTCTTCTGCAAACCCAGTCTCGCTTTCACCACATCGTACGATTGAAAAAAAAAAGCGGGTATCAATTGGCGAGGCGTTACTGGATCACCCAGACTACACTTTGAGCTGGCAGCAGGACCTGATCCTGCTCGTCGCGCGTGTCTGCAGCTGGATCGGGGTCTGGAAATGCGGTGTGTGGGCACACTTGGTGCCAAAGTTGTCGGCGACGCTCTCTTCGAGCCTCGTCCTCGGTCGGGCCGACGCGGTGAGGCTGAAAGTAGCGTACGCCGTCGAGGCAGCCGTCTGTGAGCCTGATTGCGTGGCATCCTGTTGGAGGAAGACGAAGCTCGACGCCCACCCATACGCCGGTGTGGTCGGGGATGCGGCCGAGATAGCGCACGAGCGCACGCACCTTGTGTGCTGCCCCATCGCAATCGAGCGAGACTATGCAGGCAATACCCATCTCGAGCCTCATGCCCGGTGCAGCCGTCTCCGCACCTCGCTCACTGGGACCATTAGTGGGGTGCACCACAATAGTCGTGCTCGAGTCACTGCGTTCCAGCCGGGCCTCTGCTGCTGGCAGGTTGGAGTTGGACTGCACTTCGGGCGGGGTCTTGTGCGAGGCGGCGCTGAGCGTGCGTGCGCGCAGCTCGCGCCCTGAGTCGGTGGATGAGAGCGAAAACGTTCCGCCCGGACCAGGCGTGGCGCGCAGGAACGACTTTGCCGCCAACGACGGCACCGACGGCTTCTTGGTGGGCGCACTGTCCACCGACACCCCCGCACGCGCCGGTCGAGCCGACAGCGAAGTCGATGACCGCACCGGCCGCACGCTTTTCGTCGGCGTCTTATTTGCGTCCCCGACCAGAGTGGCAGCGCTCCTCACACCGGCGACACTGGCAGGGCGCACGGAAGGTCCAGGCGGCGTGAGTTTGGTGCGGCTGGTGGCGCGTACGCTCGCAGCACTGGTGGTGCTCACCGTGCTCGAGCTGCTATGCGTACGCACCCTGCCGTTCGCACTCACGGCCGGCGTGGACGTCTGCGGAGCGGAGCGCACGGGTGTCGTTCGGGGCCGCACTGCCACAGTCGATGGCGCGGCACCGGGCGTGCGCGGAGACGAACCGGACGAGGGTTTGGCATCGGTCTTGGTGACTGACGCAGGCGGCGACGCGGATGCGGCCGAGAGCGCGCGGTGTCCGTTGGCGACCGAGGTGCGCGCTGCGTTGCGGTTGAGCACGGCGGCACGCATGTGGATGGGCCCTGCTTCGCGCTCACCGTCTTCGCGAGGCAGCCGCCTCTGTGCCGTCGGTGAAGCGGCCGAAGCACTAGACGCAGTCGACGATGTCGATGCAGTCCGTAGCCTACTTGTAGCGACAGGAGCTGTGGCGCGCGGGGTCGACAACAACGACCGGGTGCTGGCGGGCGACCTTGCGGATACCGCCGCACTTGCAGCCGGACTGGCTTGCCGCACAGCACCGGGCCGTGCGACCAGCCTGCTTGGCGGCGCCATCGGCTTGGGTGGGGTATCTGGAAGGACCAGGTCGG